TGATTCCAGCACTAGGGCACACGAAGTACAAGAGCCTGGAACACATTACTGTGCCAGAAAGTAGGGAAGTACTCAGAGGGTAATGGCAAGTCGAAACACAGAAGCCAGCTTTAAGAAAACACACAATCAGCCAGGCGCGGTGGCTCATGCCTGTAATCCCAGCACTTTGTGAGGCTGAGGCAGGCGGATCATTTGAGCTCAGGAGTTCAAGACCAGCCTGGCCAATATAGTGAAACCCTGTCTCTGCTTAAAAAAAAAAAAAAAAGAAAACACACAATCACAGAACCCGGGACAATTCCAACATCAAAGTAACGACAGTAAGGGATTATACACCATCGAATAAAACAGGAATCAAAGTCCATACAGGTACAAATAAATGAGGGGAAAAAGAGTAAGAATACAGGACAATGTTAACTAATAGATGTAGAAGGAATTTGAAAATCACCACTTGGAAACCATTACAGTAATAATTCAGGCAAGAAACAATAATACTAAAACCAATGCGCCAAATTTTGATGAGAAATAGGATATTTACAAAGGCTCAAAACATCTCCCTATAAAATATTTATCCAATACAAAGGGACAAAGAGTAACTTTCCAGGGAAGACAGGCAGACGCCATCTGCCTCAGGGTCCAAGTGACCACCACCAATGATGGGACAAATTGACACCCTGTGTCACCTTATGGGGTGCAGCGAGAGGGGCACAACAGCACTTCTGTTTCCTCCAAACACGCATACCAAGGGTAGTAATGAGGAAACACCAAACATACATTGAGGGACATTTTATAAGACAACTGTCTTACAGTCTTCAAAAAATGTTAAGGTCATAAAGATTGAGGGAGAGGGACTGAGAAAGTGAACTGGAGAGTCATTAAATGCAGTCAAACGCAGTGTGTTAACCTGGATCGGGCCCTTTTGCTTGGAGGACAATGTTGGTGCAAGTATAAAATTTTATAAGGTTCTCTAAGGTGGCGGTGGGGTATGTGGGAGCTCTTGTGCTGTTCCTGCAACTTTTCTCCAAGTGTGAAATTGTGTATGAAAAAACTGCCAATGGAATGCTCTTTGCAAAAATGCAAATATGGTATAAAAATTATAAAACCGGCCAGGCGCGGTGGCTCAAGCCTGTAATCCCAGCACTTTGGGAGGCCGAGACGGGCGGATCACGAGGTCAGGAGATCAAGACCATCCTGGCTAACATGGTGAAACCCCGTCTCTACTAAAAAATACAAAAAACTAGCCGGGCGAAGTGGCGGGTGCCTGTAGTCCCAGCTACTCGGGAGGCTGAGGCAGGAGAATGGCGTGAACCCGAGAGGAGGAGCTTGCAGTGAGCTGAGATCCGGCCACTGCACTCCAGCCTGGGTGACAGAGCAAGACTCCGTCTCAAAAAAAAAAAAAAAAAATTATAAAACCATCTTGAATTACAACAGTTAAAGATATGACTGAAAATATTTTACAATTAAGTAGTAAGTAACGAATTGGTTAAAAAACAGTTTAACTTTGCAATTTCCTTAGAACCGAAGACAATATAAAAATTATAGTCAAAATGCTGTTAAGCAGAAGCAGGCCTGACAGCTCCCTATGCAAAAAATAACAAAAGACGCCTACAATGAACTAAAATGTTAAGCTGCAAAAATCACTCCAGGGTCCATAAAATCATTCAGTAAACAAAAAACTGAACCCCCAAGCTGTTCTAAGACATAGTCCCACCACCAAATATTCTCGACAAATTTTCAATGAATTTTGAAGCAATATATTGTGCTCAAATCTGCTATTGTGTGCAAACAAAACCGATATGGCTTGTATGATTGTGCAGCCAAACAAAAGCAGTGTTGAAACAATTCTGAAAGTTTTGAAACTTACAGAGGGGGAAGCTGTCAACATTCAAATCCAGTTATCCGTATCAAACATCCCAGGAGCCTCAGGTGGCAACTCAACTGGCAGTTCCAGTCCTGGTCAGCACACTAGGGCCATTTACAGCTGAGAAGCCTGTGACAGTTTTGTGTCCACCTGACTCGGTGAAGGGATGCCCAGATAGCTGGTAAAACGGTATTTCTGGTGTGTAGGTGAGGGTGTTTCCAGAGGAGTTTAGCATTTCAATCAACAGACCAGAGTACATCTACTGGATGATGCCCACCTTCACCAGTGCAGGTGGGTGTCATCCATTCTGTTGAAGGCCCAAAAAAAAAACGCAGAGGAAGGGTTGATTTGCTTGAGTTGAACATCCCCTTTCTCCTGTTCTGGGTACCATGGGCCTTACACCAGTGCACCCAACACCTCCCTCGGCCTTCTCAGGCCTTTGATCTTGGACTGAACTACACCAGTTCCTTTCCTGGTTCTCCAGCTTGCAGACAGCATACTGTAGGACTGCTAGGTCTCCATAATCAGATGAGTCTATTTCCATAATAAATCTCCTTTCCTGTTTTTTTTTTTTTTTTTTTTGGGAGAACCCTGACTTATGCAAAGCTCATTTAGAAAGTTAGTTAGACGTGTAGGACAGAGCTTTCTGATATTTTCAACATGGCAAACACGATACTTGTATAACACACTGGGAAAACAGATGAGGTTGCCTGGGGTTAGAGCCCAGGTTCCCCAGCTGCCTTGAAGATGACCTCATGGGCTGAGGAAAATCACCATCTCTAAACATCTATACCTACTGCAAGCCGAGTTAGGAAGCTCTGGAATAGGAAGATGAGGAGTGCATACATCAAAGGCAACAAGAATGAAAAAAAGTATGACTAAGACATGAGGCAGAAGTCTGGGATGACTTTTCTAATTTGTACTCGTGGAAGACAAGTTAGGTTAGATCTGTCAAGGATCCATTACTATTAAAATGGCCACTGTTACAGTACATCAAGCTCAATGGCAGAGACCATGTTGGTATCTGCAGCACCATACCACACAGGAAGCAAACTTGTCATCCGTTTCTTTGGTCCTCCCAGCCTCCTCTCCACAGTGAAAACCCTACATGAGGGACCACCGCTTTCTAAATCTAACTTCACCACAGTGAAGGCTCTTTACAACCAACTTGCAACCGTTCTTGCAGTTCCCCAAATGTTACTGACAGTGCAGTATCTTTTTGCTAGCAAATCCAAGCCTTCACTTAGCCTCATCACTCCCCTTTCCATCCTCCCATCCACAAAGTACACAGTTCTGGAAGCTACCCACCCACCCACCACAACAGGTTCAATTACTGTAACTTCTCCCTCCAGGGTTCCACCACTCTCTTCTTCCAGCTGCAGTTAAGACGCTTCCTCCTGTTGCCCCAACTCCAATCCAGGCCATAAGAATTTCCAGATGCTTTCATCTGGCTTTTCTTTTCTGGTTGACTTGTCACACTATGCCAGATGCTTTTGACAATGTGGTGATGGACTTCATTATCCTACTGTAAAAATAAGAAACAGTGTAGCAACATCCAAGAGTAACTTAGATACCACCAGGCCAGTACATCAGGCTCACAACACTCCTTTGTGAGTGGACAATGGGGGTTATACCATTCCTCTGTAAAGATCTGTGATGGTCACATGGAAGCCGAACTACAGCTGAGACCTGAAGTCAAGAGTCCAGGAATGTCAGGAGAGGAATAAAAAGCATCACACAACTTAGGTCTACGTAGACTAGTCGGTTTTGAACAGGGACACCAAACTTTTGCTATAAAGGGCCGGACAGTGATTATTTAGGCTTTGCAGGCCACAGAGTCTGCTGCAGCTATCCAACAGCAAACCTCTGTAGCGCAGAAGTAGCTATACACAATATGTAAACAAATGAGCATGGCTGTGTTTCAATAAAACTTTTAAGGACACTGAAATATAAACTGAAACGCTGAGGTGATAAAAAACATATACAATTGAAACCATTTAAAAATGTAAAGATCACTCTTAGTTCATGGACCACACAACAGGTATAAGACAGATTTGACTCATGAAGCTGTAGTTTGCCAGCCCTTGGCTTAGGAGGAAAAAATGGGGAAAATGGACAGGGAAGGCCAACTGAACTTTATGGCTGGAGAATCCACCAGAACTGACTGGGTCAGGAACACTCATTGCCTGCAACTGCTTACTTTCAGTAGAACATTTTGTAGCAGCCTTTGGCTGGCTGCTTCAGACAAGAAGTATGGAACAATGGAAATTTTATGCATTCCCTAAAAGACCTCACTAACCTTAACATCCCAGCAAATATCCCATCTCTGTGTTGACTGAGAAAAGCACCAGGAGACCCAGTAAAGTCAATCTAGTGCCTGGGCCTCCTATGTGATACACTCACCAATTACTGAAGTAAAAAGAAGTATCAGTGACAGAAGCATTGTCAACTTTCAATCTGATTCTATGTGACAGAATCATTTAAAAAATGAGAAGTGCAATGTTGGATGTATTGAAAATATTTTATAATCAATTCTCTAGATCTCCTAGCCATCCAGTACAGGAAAAAATTATATTGGAACACTTCAGTATTTTTAAACAATGAAAAAAAAATATTTGACTAGAGGATGGCATAAGAAATTTACATATACAAACTTAGGCTTCCTCACATTTCCCACAGAGCAACTAAACAAGAAAAAGATTTCAAGAAATGACAGTATACCTCAAATGCGAAATTCCAAAGTCAAACAGCTACTTACATTAAGAGATTTACCAAAACAGTTTGTAAATTAAACAATAACAGCAAAAGGCACAAAAAGCCTATTTCTTTTATGGTGTCTTGGCTGATTCTTTAAGAAGCAGATAAACAAAGTACTGTAAGGAACGATCAAAACTTGGCCTGAGCTGTCTTCCGATAATTATTAATCCTAGTATATCCAGATTTGTTGTCCAAGGACAAAAGCTCCATGCCACCTTCTGCTGTCACTTTCCAAGGAGGAGGCTGCTGTTTTTTTTTTGTTTCCAGTTTTCACTATGCTCTGAGTAGACAGAGAATGTCATAAAATAAATGAGAGTATTCCATTATCCGACCAGAAATGCCACCTCTTTTCCCAACTCATTGCTCTGACTTGAATGATGAACGTATATACGAATTCTCATTTTATTCTCCTGAGAAATTATGCATGATCCATTATAAAACATACAGGTAATACAAAGTCCAAAAGCCTGTCATGTTTATGGCAGTGGTGTGATCTCGGCTCACTGCAACCTTCATTTCCCGGGTTCAAGCAATTCTCATGCCTCAGCCTCCCAAGTAGCTGGGACCACAGGCGTGCGCCACCATGCCTGGCTAATTTTTGTATTTTTAGTATAGATGGGGTTTTGCCATGATGGTCAGGCTGGTCTCGAACTCCTGGCCTCAAGTGATCTGCCCGCCTTGGCCTCCCAAAGTGCTGGGATTACACGTGTTAGCCACCATACCCAGCCAGTTTCATTTATTTTCATAAGAAATAGGTTATGAGTACGTGATGTAAATCCTTAAAGTCATCACCATGCTGTGCTAAAAATATTGAGAAATTATGCAGAGAGAAATCTGTGCAAATTCATCATCTTAGTATCAGATGGTTAACAAAAAAAAAAGGAAACAAAAACAAAAACAACCCAAATTATTTCTTTAAATACTCTTATTTATACTCAGGAAAACAGATTTGAAAAACTGAACAAGTACACATCTGCCCCGTTTATGATCAAATAACAATGCCAATGAAGGAGATTCCAAAGGAAAAACTGAGATGAAAAAATCCAAATAAAAGCCAACACTGCTATTAAGATTTTTCTTTTAATATGCCATGAGATATCTTGATTGTATATTTTCCAAAGTACTTTCCAGCCACATCTCCCAACCCTTCCAAAAGATTTTGCCAGTCTTTCCAATGCAATAAAAGATGCTGGATTATAGTTTTCTCTACCATCTCTTTTTGAAAGCGATATTATACTAATGACTTTAATGGTAATACACTCTTATCTAATAAAGAAACACATTTACAAATATCAGAAACCCAGTTTTGAAACATTTGCATTAATTTTGAACTGAATCAGCATTTTGTGGGTTTTTAAAAAGGCAGCAGTTTGACTCACGACTTGCTGATAAACACATTTCTGCTGAGGGAAGGGGAAAAGACAGGGAGAGTGAATGCTGCATTTCTCCATTGGCCCCAAAAGTGCTAATTTCACAAAGGGATACATCAAAAGCAAACATGCAATGGTTGTTTTAAAACTTTTACTGCAATATAACAATGAAGTAAACAGTAATTAGACACCTACCAATTTTTCCCCAAAACAAACAAAAAAAAATGTAAACAGGAAAATAACTCTGCCTATACTTGTACAGCTTCTCAAATCATGTTAGAAGGGTCTCACATTCAATGATCAAGAAATTTTAAAATAGCAGTAATTATTTTCATTTTAAGAAAAGGTTCCCTTTCTCCCCCCCACCCCAAGTATTTAACATGAAAGAATGGGCTTCCTTACACATTAATTTTATACTTATTTTTGAAGCAGCAACAATTAACCTTTGATAATTTGGCATTTCTCTTTACAGTCGCTACAAAAATTCTTTTAATTTCACAAAGCCATTATCCAGTGTTGCTATGAAACAGAGACTGTAAATTCTAGGTAGCTAAGATTCTTTCTGAAACCAATGTTAAGTCAAAGAAATATAAAGCAGGGCATTACACTAAGTTTCTGGATCTAGTACACTAAAAAGAGTGAAACCTAAGAAAAGTTACCTACTGTTTTACAGAAGAAATAAAGACCTGCAAAAGCTGATTTTTTGGTTGTATATATTTTACACACTGTGTGGAGTTGCGGCATCTGCTAGTTGAAGCAGACATGCACTGTATTTATCCCTGCCCTATATCCTAGATCCCTCCCTCCCCACCCCCAACAATCTACTACCTTATACCAAGTATTGTGGATATGAGCCCAAGTCATCCCAGACAATCCAGTGAACAAGTTAGTGTAATGCACTGGTGTGAAGTGTGAGATATAAAAAAGTCCCTTTCAATCTTCATCAAAGTTCTGCTGTAGAAGAAAATTGGCAGCCAAATTCTCATTCTTCTCACAAGCAAAATATGCTTGTATCACAAGTCCTTCAGGAAATCCTAATGCCTTTAACTGGAAGAAAAAGGAAAAAAATATAAATCCAACACACCAATTATGGCACATTTAATTTACTTACATATTACAGATTCCAGCATAGCACTAAAGACAGATCATTACTCAAAAACATACTGCAACCCAAAAAAGCTCTTGAGAATTTTACATGAATTCATCTCTATCTGAATATGGATTTACTGCCCAACCCAAGCGATTTGATGGAATCTAGACCCTTTCCTTTACTAATCGCCTAAAAAAGTCTTTGTTTTCTAGTTAAAGCTTAAGAGATACTATGCAAATACTCTTTGGCCTAATTAAACATTAGTTGCTAATTGCTATGGTTTAAAAATAAATGACTACAGAAATGTGTAAATCAAATGGTTTTTAGTATATTAAGAGTGAAGATAAGGATGAGAGTACCTGGAGTATAGTTTAACCACCTCATCTAATTATTTGTAAATTAAAAGCAAATGTTTTATTTATTAATGCCAACTAATGTCTTTCATTTGGATCAAACATCACTCTCAATCTCCTTGCTTTATTCAACACTCCATACTAGAAAACTAGGTGACCAATTAGTAGTAATAACACACGGTACATTTTGAAGTAAAGACAGTGTTCTATTTTTATCTGCTTAACAGTCACAGCATTTTAAATGGTAATACTAGCTACTTAATTTCATTTTCCTAGTCTATTAAAAACCACTTGTGACAATACTCACTGCTTTTAAAAGCCTTTAAAAACTCAGCCAAATGTCACCTTCCTCAATTGTCTCAATCACCTTGAGTTAGATCATGTGTCCCAAACCCCCAGACCGCAAACTGGCACCACCCATTGGCCTGTTAGGAACTGGGCCGCCCAGGAGGTGGTGAGCAGTGGGTGAGCAAGTGAAGTTTCATCTGTATTTACAGCTGCTCCCCATCACTCGAATTCCACCTGAGCTCCGTCTCCTTTCGTATCAGCGGCAGCATTAGATTCTCATAGGAGCATGAACCTTACTGTGAACTGTGCATGTGAGGGATCTGGGTTCTGTGCTCCGTATGATAGCCTAACAAATGCCTGATGATGTGAGGTGAACAGTTTCAGCCCCAAACCACCACCCCGCCCCACTTCCTAACCTAACTAATACCTGATAATCGGAGGTGGAACAGTTTCATCCCAAAACCACCGCGCCCACTCCACCTCTGTTGGTAGAAAAAAAGGTCTTCTACAAAACTGGTCCCTGGTGCCAAAAGGTTGAGGACTGCTGTTAGATTATATTCGGAAATGACCCTTAAAATTTGGGCAAAAATCCGAATTCATCACGAATAACTACTGATCTATGAAAGGAGAAGAAATTAAAAAATCCGTTTGTTATCTGGGTTTTATCCAGATTAAAGCTAGGATAGGTGAAGTAAAGGGTATAATCCAACTGCCTGCTTCTACAAAACACACAATTTAAAGATTCAAAGACACAATGATCGAAAAAGGTATATACCATGCAAATGGTAACCAAAAAAGAGCTAGAATGACTATATCAGATGAAACAGATTTAAGATAAAAATTGTTACTATAAACAAAAGGCATTTTATGATAAAAAAGGATCAGGAAGACACAACAATTATAAACATATATAACAGAGCCACAAAATACATAAAATAAAAACTGAGAATTAAAAGGTAGAAATGGTAATTAACAATAATAGTTAGAGAAATCTATAGCCCCACCTTCAATAATAGATAAAACAGCTAAGGAAGAAGACTTGACTACAAACTAGATCTATCAGGTATTTATAGACCACAATAAGAACTACATTATATTCTTCTTCAGTATACATAGAACATTCTTCAGAAATACCATGTTAGGCCACAAAACGAACCTCAAAAAGTTGAAAAGTATTGAAAGTATATTCTCTGATTATAATGGAATGAATTTAGAAAAGGAGATGATGTGGGAAATTCATAAACTTGTAGAAATTAACACAATCCTAAATAACAAATGAATTAAATTAGAAACCAAAAGGGAAATTGAAAAACATTTTGAGATTAAAGAAAGCAAAACATACTAAAACCTATGGAATGCTGCTATAGCATAAACACGGAAGGAATATTATAGCTATAAACATCTATCCTAACAAAGATAGATAATAATCTAATCTAAAACTAAACAAAGAAGATCTAAACTAAACCTAATCTAAAAATGGAAGAACAAACTAAAAGCAAGCAAGAAGGAAATAAACATTAGAGAGACTTAAAAAAAAAAAAAAAAGACTAGAAAAACAATAGGGAGAATCAACAAAACCCAAAGTTATTTTTGTCATTAAAAAAAAAAAAAATCAACAAAATTAAAACCTTTAGCTAAACTGAAGGGAAAAAACAAAAATCTTAGGACTCAAATTACTAAAATCAGGAATAAATGCAGGAATATTACTACTTTAACAAAAGAAGAAAATGATTATAAGGAAATATGTACAACTGCATGCCAACAAATTAGACAACTCAGATAAAATATACAAATTCCAAGTTAAAAACCACCAAAACTGACTCTAAAAGAAACAGAACAGTAGAATAGACAAGTAACAAGAGACTGAATCAGTAATCACAAAACTTCCCAAAAAGAAAAGCCCGGGCCCAGACTACTGATGAATTCTATCAACTGTTCAAAGAATTAACACCAATTCTTAATAAATACTTCCAGAAAACAGAAGAGTAGAGATTAAATCCCAACTTACTCTAAGAGGCCAGTATTACCCAGACACCAAATTCAAAGACATCACAAAAAAAACTACAGACCAATATGACTTATGAACAGATGCAAAAATCCTCAACAAAATACAAGCAGGCTAAATCCAGCAACGTATAAAAAGGATCATACGTTGTGACCAGTAAAATTTATCCCAGAAATGCAAGGTTGGTTCGACATACAAAAACCAATCAATGTAATAAAAGCATACTAAAGGACAAAAATCACATGATTATCTTAATAAAAAAAGAAAAAAACATTTGACAAAATCCAACACCTTTTTCTGATGAACAAACTAGGAATAGAAGGGAATTTCTTCAATCTCATAAAGGGCATCCACAAAAAACCCACAGATAACATCATACTTAGTGATGAAAGACTGAATGCTTTCCCCTAAGATCAAGAACCAGACAAGGATGTTGTTGGTTCTTGCTAGTCTAATAATATACTGGAGGCTCCAGATAGGGCAATTAGACAAGACAAAGAAATAAAAGGTATCCATATTGGAAAAGAAGTAAAACTGTCTCTATCTGCAGATGACATGACCTTGTATATGGAAAATCCTAATGAACACATGCACAAACTACTTAATGAATAAATAAGAGTTCAAGAAGGTTTTAAGATAAAAGATCAATAAACACAATTAAATTGTCTTTTTATATAGTTAACAATGAACAATCTGAAAATGAAATTAAGAGAAAAATCCATTTATAATAGCATCAAGAAGAATAAAAATACCTAGGAATAATTTTTTAAAAAGTAGTGCACAACTTCTACACTGAAAACTACAGAACACTACTGAAAGAAATTATAGAAAAATCTTATTATTAATATGGCAATACTCCACAAATTTCATCTATAGAATAAAACAATCCCTATCAAGATCCCAACCAGAATTTTTTTTTTTTTTTGCAGGAATCAGACAAGCTGATGCTAAAATTTGTGCAAGAATGTAAAAGATCCAGAACAGCCAAAACAATCTTGGGAAACAATAATAAAATGGGAACAATTAACACTTCCCAATTTCAAAACTTACTTAGAAAGCCATACTAATATGCACTTTATCTGATTTCCACGTCAAAACACTTAGTAAGATAAGACAGGGCAAGTATTATGATTACTACGATTCCCTGTTTATTGTAAAAATGAGGGAGAAAAAGAATAACTAATCACGATATAAAAACTAGGTTACTGGAATCAGGATAGCAGATTTCTGATGTTTAATATAGATAAAAAATAAATACAAATAAAAACCCGAAAAAAATCTAGAATTGGGTATTTACTTCTAAGACTTTTTCTTCTTGAATTTTAACACAGCAATAAAATTATACCTTTACTGCTTGTCCTTTGGCTTCACAGAAGACAAGATGGCGGAACAGGGTTAAGAGGAGACTATCTTTACCGCAATCCATAGGGCAATGCTCTATTTGGCTCTGTCCATCAGAACTATCTCCAGTAAATGAAAATGTTCTACATTGGTTCTATCCAATAGTAGCCACTAACCCCATGTGACTTCTGAGCACTTGAAATGGGGCTAGTGTGACTAAGGAATTTTTTAGAGTCTCACTCTGTTGCCCAGGCTGGAGTGCAGTGGCGCAATCTTGGCTCACTGCAACCTCTGCCTCCCAGGTTCAAGCAATTCTCTTGCCTCAGTCTCACAAGTAGCTGAGATTACAGGTGCGTGCCACCACTCCCAGCTAATTTTTGTATTTTTAGTAGAGATGAGGTTTCACCATGTTGGCCAGGCTGGTCTTGAACTCCTGACCTCAGGTGATCCGCCCACCTTGGCCTCCCGAAGTGCTGGGATTACAGGAGTGAGCCCAGCCAAGAACTAACTTTTTTAAAGTTTTAAACTCACCCTTTCTATAGCTTCTTTTTCCTGAGGCGTTACTTGAATGTAGTTCATATGACCACTTCCAGCTTCTGCAATTCCTCCACTGCCACCTCCACCTCCTCCTCCTTGACCACCAGCTTCTTGAACTGGTTCATTTAACATCTGAATAAAATGCTCCTGGTGTTGGCTAATTTGCTGTGGTGACATGAATGACAGAGAAAAATAATACATTGATATTAAGCATCTACAGGAACAGAGGAATTCTAAATATTACTAAGAGAAAAGGCTACACTTTTGCAAACGTAGTATTTTAGGGATTCTGGATTATTCAGTCTTTGGAAGGATGTGATTTCTTGTACATTAGTAAAGAAATGCAGTACTTTTGGGCAAAGTAAACAGTGAAGAAATTCAAATTCTTAAGGCTCTGAGCCTCCTGTGCTAAAAAACAAACAAGCAAACTACTGTGGCACTGTAAGAACAGAACTTATTCTTTATACTTGCATATACTTTTACCTTCCACACTAGTGGGCACTAAAATGCTGTATAAAATTCAAAATACTTGGTGATCTGAGCATTAAAGAAGCCCCACACCTATTTTTTCTAAGAGTAAGTTGTTCCTATTGCTTAGAAGTTCCTAAGAAAAAGGAACTAAGAAATAAGCTTGTGAAAAGTGATTTAAAGTTAGGCAGTTTCTTTGTTAAACAGCTTCCCAAATTCTTTAACATATTAATGTCTACTGGGAATCTCCAAGAAGGAAATATAAAATGTTTCCCAAACTTATTATTATTTGGTCAACTTAATTTAACCCAACCTCTATATCCCAACTGTTATTTGAGTACACCTATCCAGATTACAATATTTTACTAAGTGTAGCTTGGAAGAATACATTCACCATTCTCAAATACAGAGTTGTATTTGAGGCGGGGAAGGACCGTTCATGGACTTTTTCAAAATGTGATACACTCTAACCTACTTGTGAAACTGACACTGATTAGTCACCTGAAGTAACTGAGGATTCTCTCGACCTATCTGCTGTAGTAATGCTGGAAGCAGGGAAGGATTCTGTTGAATAATTTGTCTCATCTGTTGAAACTGAGGTTGATTCCGTAAAAATTCAAGGGGATGTCCTAAAATACACATAAACGTTTTTAAACAAAAGCAGTAAATACATATACAAAGAGTGGTTAAACAATACATTTACACAGCAAACACTATCAAGTAAAAAATGATTTCTCAGATGTAATAAATGAAGTAAATAATGATGAAATCTTCCGACCATATCAACTTGCAAGTTTTATACGGCAAAAATTACTCCTATTAGCAAATGCAGGGAGTGCAGAACGCTGACTGTAACATGAACCAAACTTGCCTATAATCGCCCTTGGCACTCAATGTTATAAAATAATCCTAGATACTTGTCCGCTACGCGTGTTCTATCAAAATAAAAAGTGCTAAAAGTTATTCCTGTTGCTTAAAAGTTCCTAAGAAAAATATACACCACAACTAACAAAAACAAAAACTCACTACTTTATAAGCTGTATGGCAATCTAGTACTAATATACCTAAACTCTTCAGTCTAAAATCCATTCACAATAATAAATGTTAGTAATGCCAAATAAAATATAAAATACAGAACTTGTGGCTTTTTCAGGGTGCTGGTACTTCTCTGGTATGCTATAGGAAACCAAAAATCGTACATAAAGGAATTATGTTTTTGAGATTACTAATGAAGAAAAGAGAATTTTTAGATGTATGTTGTAATTTCCTATTCAGGAAGACAATCATTCAAGCTGAAATGACCATAGCACATGGGTTTTTTATTCTTCCATATATAATACTAGCTTTATAGGTGAAGGCAATGAGACTTAGAGACTATGTTACCTAATAAGTGCTGAAAGGAACAGAACCCCAAATCCAAAGCAGAGCTGTGGCCATCTCTTTCCACTCCCATGCTGAATCACAAGAAACAAAAGGCCTGTCCTCTGGAGACTGTACACAAAGCACTGAGTGACCTCTGTCAACCAGAGGTGACTATCATAATCAGAGCTAGGAAATGCATAAAAGAATGGCCTTTTCAAGATCAACAGTTTATATTACTTTATTAATACACAGAAGAACGAACGAAGGAGAACACTGCGTAAATCCTAAGCCGACCGCAGGTTCCAGGTTCTGCTCTGTAGTCAGACCTATAGCAATGTGTGGGTATGGTCAGTACCCCAGTAAGGAGACTTCAATTCAAGCTCTGCTTTCTCCTCTAGATACAAGGTTTGAAACCTCTCAAGGTCTCATTTCCTTGGTTGTATTAACTAGTGAAATCCTGCTGGCTTTGAAATTACATACACTTTGTAAAATTTATGGAGAGAGTTACGAGACAAAGTGAGCAAACCATTCTGAACAGCATCAGAAAGTAACACTAAATACAAACTGGAAAGCATCTTTTCCTTAAAACAAATAAAACAGAATATGCCCTCTGACAAAACTGCAACTGATGTTTAATATCAGCAAGGATACCTTTTACATCCACTTGGGAGACTTTCTTTTGGGCCTTTCTCAAACATTAGTGAAGAGAGAACTTAATGAAGCATTCAGCTGCTCTGGGAATGAACCTCATTTCTGAAGTATTTCAGATTAAATCATTTTACAGTAAAAATTCAGGGCCATTCCTTCTCCATCCAAAAGATTCCACTTTACCTCCAGAACTTGTTGTTGTTGTCGTTGCTGTCGTAGTTGCTGCAGCTGCAGCCACTGCTGAAGACTGAGGAGCCCCAGTACTAGCTGCTTGAGGGGGGTCAACCACAGCCTGACTTTCTCTATCTCCAGGGATTCCCTATAACAGAATTTCCAAGCTTTAAGATATCCCTTCAGGCAAAATTTAATATTATACAGAGTAAAAGATTTATAGTCTATTTAACATCTTGTCTGATTTTCAAAAGCATCAAACAGACGTCTGCTTCAATTAAAAGTAAAGGATTATTAAGCTGCATGGATTAAAATTAGATTAGAAATGACCTGTGTGCATTATAGAAAAACCCACATTGCTGTAATAATGCAAAGCAGCACTGTCCAGCAGAACTTTCCATGATGATGGAAATTTTCCCTGTGTTGTCCAATAAGATGCCTACCAGGCACACGTAATTGGCGTCAAATCTGAAAAATACTGATACATGTACCTTCTTAAAACTGAACATAACCAAAGGTTTTTGTGCCAGCTATTACTTCAGTTGACTTTTTAACTTCTTAGAAATCTTCATCAGCTGTTACTCAGTAACAAAAAGGATTGAATTTGCAACCCGGGCTTAAGATAATCCAAAAAAAGAGTTTTTGATGCACACTTGACAGTTCTGAAATGATTCCTGGGGAAAAAATATCTAATGGATACAGACCAGGTACACAGCGGTCAGGCAGGAGGATCTCCTCTACTGATCCATGGAACTGAGTAAGTGTCACTCAGAAACTATCTCATAAATTTGACATACTTTTGAATAAAGCGTTTCTTTGAGAAAGTGTCAAAGTATCTCATAAATATGAGCTACTCAAGTATTTCCAAAAATTTAATTTTTCAAAATGCACAAAATTGATCTAAAATAAACTGAAACCATTTAGTTTTTAGGTGATGCCTTTTGTAAGTTTATAGTACTTATCTTTTAAAGTTATTAAGAGCTTAAAACTGCATGCACTAAAATATTTTGGGACATCTATTTTGATGCACATGGTTGATAAGACTTGTCATTTAAAAATTTAAAAAAGTCTTTATCAAGTTCTTATAGCTTTTGAAAAGAAGAAAATAAAGAACCAAGTATTACAATTGAATAAGATGATAAATGCTTCCATTTCCTAATAAGCTAGAAGCCAAAAGCAACAACATATAAAGGATGAAGGGCAACACAGCAGGAAAATGGCTGCATGCATTAGATGTCACTCCAGGCATTAAAACCAATGTTTTTGAATGAGTTCATCATTTCAAACCCTTAACTTAGATGGTCAGTTATTTAAGTGCTAACAAACTACATACAAATTTAGGATCCAGAGGGTCCATCAAATTCTGTTTTATAAAACTAAAAAGTTAATCTTCATTGCTACAGATCAACCTCTATTCTCACACATGTTACATAGCCTCTTATTAGATAAGTGCTCAACATTTCTTCTTTCCACCCATTCACCTTATCTGTTAACTAGTAACAGTTAAAGGCAACTTTTCCCCTCCAGTCTATGAAACAAACAGCAAACATATAAAAAACATTTTAGTTATAAAATGTTTGATGAACTCATGACTCATCTATTTATTTGCATTTGATGCTATACAGCAGTTTTAGCATTTGGCAACTTTGGTAACAATGATTCTTTTTTTTTATACATCAAAACTCCACATCCATTAGATCACAATAACTGATACCGTTGAACTTATGCAGAATTCTAAATCAAGTGTAAATGAAAGCCACTCCATAAAAGCTAATACTTTTATACAATCTGTTTAGGGTATGCACCCCTCACCAAACAAATTCACAACAATTAATTCCAGAATTCCAAAAAAACTGGATAAACTGCCAGCATTTAAAGACACTACTCAAGAAGACAATGAAAAAGTGAATTTAAAAAGATAAAATAATATGCTAAGAAAAGGTTTTGTGAACTTCACATCCAAATGCATGGGCAAATAAATGGTGGAGGCAGAGTACAGTTATGAGGCTTATAACTGACTCTTCTGAAACTAGCCAGCTACCTGAAAGGAATTTTTAACAGAAGTACAACTTAGACACAAAGGACAACCTAGACATAAAGGAATGGGTTAAACTGTGGATTAATTGCCAAAAGAGTTAACTCTAAGATACAAAAAGAGCAACTCTAAGATGGTATTTAGGGCAATTCAGACTTCGATAATACTCCAAAACAGCAGACAATTATAGAATAGAAGATTTCTTAAAAGTTAATTCAATTACTTTAGCCTGTGTCACATCTGTAAAACTAGCAGACTTTCATCTTAATACCAAGTGTTTCAGTCAATGTCCACAACAATCTATTTCTCAAAAACTCCCATTACCGGTAAAAAAAGAAAACCTTATTCAAAAAGTCCCTCAACTCCTACTGACTATAAAAACAAATTCAAATGCTAACGGAACCAGGTAAGTAACATCATTCGTTAAATGCGTGATGTTACATTGGTAACAGAGTGAATCAGAGGATAATGAATTAGATTCTATGATCTAAAATATTTTCCTTAATCCCTTGCAAAAATCTGGGATCCAAAGTTGTCCAGATAAACCAGAAATCTGTACTTATATGTGAAATTTCCCAGATTTTAAAAAGCTCGCAACTTATTACAGATATATACATAGTATAAGCAAAAGAATTTGGCCCGAATTCTCAAGCTTAAAATGTTTGTTCTTAATAATTCATGCACAGTGGTACCTAAAAAGCTACTACAATGCTGGACCACTATATTAAAAAAGGTTACATTTTATTAACACAAAATACAAACATACTAGAAAAAAAAGCACTGTGTATCATCTAGCATATATCATACAGGTGAAGTGGTCCTTTAAAATCTGTTTCTTTGAGATTTTGATCTTAAACAACTAGAATGAAGTAAAGTAAAACATGTTTCTCACCATTAAAAGATACTCCACTGCTCTGTCAGGGTTGTTGAAACTGGCTCTCAGGGCTGCAATTACTTGCTCTCGTTCATAGCCCATTGACATGATCTCAGTTACCATATTCTCGTAAGACTGACCCGTCACTAAAAAGGGAGGGTGGAGGGGAAAGAAAAGGAACATTTAATAAATAAGCATTCTCTATACATTTCTTGATTCATGTATACAACATTTCAGGCACAACTGTGCTAGGAATACAAAGATGAGTAACAGTATAAATTACAACATACATGTAGTAGGTAATGGTCCCCCAAAGATGCCCTCCGGTTTGATTCCTAGAACCTATAAATAGGCTACATGGCAAAGGGAAATTGAGGTTATAGATAAAATTAAGGTTGCTAATCAGCTGACTTTAAGATAGAGACCTCATTCCGGATTATCTAAGTGTGTCCAGCATAATGACATGAATCCTTAAGAACAGTAGGTGGAGGCCGGTGAGAAGGTCAGAGAAACAGGTGTGAGGAGGAGGAGACAAAACCAGGATGAGAGATGTTATGCTGTTGCCTTTGAAGATGGAGAAAGGGGCTACCAGCCAAGGTATGTGAACAGTCTCTAGAAACTGGACAGGATCAGGACAAAAATTCTTCCCTGGAGTCTCCAAAAAGGAACTCCAGCTCCCTAATTTTAGTACAGTGAGCCCTGTGTCTCACTTCTAACCTACAGTACTAGAAGATAGTTAATCTGTGTTGTTCTACACCATTAAGTTTGTGTTAACTTACTACAGTAGCAACAGGAAACTCATATAATACGTTTCAGAGTATAACAGAAAAATGAGGTACAAAGGGAAGGGAGAATCAGGAGGTCAAAGAAGGCAACTGGTAAGAAGAGACACTGAATTCTGAAAACATGCTGGGGAAGGGATGGCATTTCAAACCATCAACTCTGATGCAACAAGTTCAGTTTCCCTTTGATACCTTATATAACTAAAACAGTGGGGAAAGAGGTTAGGAGCTAGAAAGTTAAAATCTTGTACACTATACAAAGTTGGTAAAATGCCCTAAGCGCTAATATTCCAACAAGTCACTTCTTACAGACTCCTATGCTCCCTCCTCTCAGCACAGACAACACTCTGAATAAATGAAAGTTATTTTCCTCATAAACTTACCTTACTTAAAACTATCGTCTCTTCCGCTTGTGTTCTGGGGACCATTACCAAACTGGATTTGGTTATCCTCTCTTCTCCACCAACACCTTTCCCCCTCTGTGTAATTATCCTGGATCAGTAGTTAACTATGTCCTATATTTCACCCTAAAACAAAAACACACCTCCCTCCTTTGACTTCATCTTAATTCCTCTTTGAGGAACCATCTGCTCTCTTCCCATCACAGCCACAGCTATTGAACACATGTCCATTTTCTCACATTCCACTCATTCCTCAACTAATTGCAATTCAGATTTCCCTCTCAAATGTGTCCCACCATTATCTGTTTGCTCTCTTTAAATAAATGACACCTCTATTCACCTCCTAAGTGCTTGAACAGAAACCCTGGGGATTTCAGTTCCTTTTCCTCTTCCTTCCACACCTCACTTACCAGCATACCTCGTAAGTTCTATCTCTAAATTACACCCCAAACCCATCTCTTCATTCTCTACTGTCAACACTGAAGACAAGCCCACAACAGTCTGTACATGGGATTACAACATTTCCAACTCTTGTCTCCATATCTACAATCTACTCTTCAGCCAGTTGCAAAAGTCAACACACACACACACATACACACACACAAAACCCCCCATCTAATTTCTGGCTCCCAGCCCTCAACAATGCTCCACCCACCACACTCATCTTCCCGGTGTTATTTCAGCAGGCCACACCTTTTCCTGCCTCAGGGCCTTTACACAACACCAGCTATCTTTAGATGGCTGGTTCCTTCAACATGCTTCAGTTCTATATTTAAAAGGTATTGCCTAGCCATCCCAGGTAGCCTTCTGTTTTTTCTTTAGGGACGCCCTTTGTGTTCTTAATATCATTTATCTTTTTTTCTTTTAAAGTTTCATTATTTTTTTCTTGCCCCAACTGAATGCAAGTTTGTGCAGAAAACCATGCCATTTTGCATATTTCCCTGATACACAGCTGACACCGAGTATCCGTTGAATAAATAATTTTTTTCTGCAGAACTTTCCAAATAAAGGTGTTTAATAGCTAAAAAACCCCTAAATATCACAAAAAGATTAATCATTTGATATCTTGTTTAAAATAATGACTTTCCTTTTCCCATCTCATAAAACAATAATTTTTAATTATTCATTTTCTTATCTACTGATATAATTCGAGCACAAAGCAACTCAAGTAGCAATACACTTTCAGTAACCCAATTCCCAGATACAGAAATCAGTATCAATACAACTGAAATTAAGAGCTACAGAAAACCAGAACTGCACTATTTCAACATGGTGTTTTTCTTTTAGTCCTCTCTACTTCATAAGAAAGGTTTAATTTCAACTCCTTTAAAAGATAAGGAGGTTACAGCTTGGAGAGATTAATAATTTGGTAAAGGCCAGGCGTGGTGGCTCACACCTGTAACCCCAGCACTTGGGAGGCTGAGGCGGGCAGATAACGAGATCAGGAGATCAAGACCATCCTGGTCAACATGGTGAAATCCCATCTTTACTAAAAATACAAACAAATTATCTGGGCACGGCGGCATGTGCCTGTAGTCCCACCTACTCAGGAGGCTGAGGCAGGAGAACTGCTTGAACCCCGGAAGCAGAGACTGCAGTGAGCCAAGATCATGCCACTGCACTCCAGCCTGGTGAAAGAGCAAGACTCTTTGTCTCCAAAAAAAAAAAAAAAAAAAGTCAAAGTATTGTCATGGTGCAGAGATACAAACAAACACAGGCTGATAGTGAAGTCTCCACATCTAATCATTATACTATGACTCCTAAAATCATGTTTCCTAGTTAAATTATAGAATCTCAAAAAATACCTATCAGCAGTGTGATACTTTTTAGATCTTAAAAGTCCAAAGGCAAATGACTTGTAAAAAGAACTAGAGAGGCTGGCATGGTGGCTCACACCTGTAATCCCAGCACTTTGGGAGGCCGAGGTGGGCGAATCACCTAAGGTCAGGTGTTCAAGACCAGCGTGGCCAACGTGAAATTCCGTATCTACTAAAAACACAAAAATTAGCTGGGCATGGTGGCAGGTGCCTGTAATCCCAGCTATTTGGAAGGCTGAGGCAGGAGAATTTCTTGAACCCAGGAGGCGGAGATTGCAGTGAGCTGAGCCTGCGCCACTGCACTCCAGCCTGGGTGACAAAGACAGAGAGTGAGTCAAACAAACAAACAAACAAACAAACAAACAAACAAAACGAGAGAGACTGGACAAGAAACAGAGTAATGAGGCCAAAGAGGTGGTGATGAAGAACTTTATATATGCCATTCAGAATAAGCTTTGATCATATTACCTGACTTCAAATACTATTACCAGGCTACTGTAATCAAAACAGCATGGTACTGGTATAAAAACAGACTCATCGATCAATGGAACAGAATAGAGAACCCAGAAATAAAGCCGCATACCCTACAACCAAATTGATCTTCAACAAAGTCAACAAAAACATGCACGGGGGAAAGGACACCCCATTCAACAGTGCTGGGAAATTGGATAGCCACATTTAGAAGAATGAAACTAGACCCAGAATTCTCATCAAACACAAAAGCTAACTCAAAACAGATTAAGGCCTAAATATTAAGACCTGAAACTACAAAAAACCGAGAAGAAAACCTAGAAAAACTCTTCTGGACACTGGCATAGGAAATCTAACAAAGTGTTATTATCTAGAACTTCAACATCAAGAAAAAACCAAATAACCCCATTAAAAAGTGGGCAAAAACCATGACTGGACATTTTTCAAAAGAAGACATACAAGTGGCCAACAAACATGAAAAAATGCTCAACATCACTAATCATCAGAGAAATGCAAATTAAAACCACAATGAGATGTCCCACGTCACACCAGATGTCAGGCAAGGATGCGAAGCAAATAGAATGCTTACATACTGCTGGCGGGAATGTCAATTAGTATATCCTTGATGGAAAACAGCACGGAAATTTCTCAAAGAACTTAAAAACAGAACTATCATTTAATCCAGAAATTCCACTACTATGTATATACCCAAAGGGAAATAAATCATTATATCAAAAAGATACCTGCACTTGTATGTTAATCATGGCATTATTCACAATAGTAAAGATATGGAATCATTAAATGGAGGATGAGATAAAGAAAATGGGGTGTGTGTGTGTAAAAGTACTCCCCCATCAAAAATAATAAAATCATGTCTTTTTTTACAGCAACATGGATAGAACTATGGAGGCCACTATCCTAAATGAAATAACTCAGAAACAGTCAAATACCACATGTCCTCACAAGTTGGAGCTGAACCATAGGCACACATCATATAGAATGGAATAATACACACTGGAAACGACAAAAGGTAGGGAGTGGAGTGTGGGTTCAAAAATTTCCTTTTTGGTACAATAAATGTTCATTATTCAGGTGATGGCTACACTAAAAGCCCAAACTTCACCACCACGTAATATATGCATGTAAGAAATCTGCACTTGTACTCTCTAAATATATACAAATTTTAAAAATTAAAAAGAATAAGCTCTGGACTTACTTTCTAGGTCATGAGGAACTATTAAAGGAATTAACAAAGACCCCATCAGAGTTGCTTTTTAGAAAATACACTCTAGTAAGGAAGAGGCAGACCAGGTGGATAAGGATAATGCAAGAGTATAAGTGAAATAAGGACCCGAACTAAGGCAACTAAATGACAGGGGAAACAAATATTCCAGAGACTTTAAGAGAGGGAGTCATTAGTAACTGTGGAATGATGGGAGGAAGTGGAAGGGGGAAGGAGGAAGGAAGAAGAGAGGTCAGAGGGGAGAGGAGAGAAAGGAAAAGAAACAGACTTACTGGGCCAAAAGAGGCAGAGGGTGGATGAATGACAGATGGTACAATTAAGAAGGGAACAAAAGGAAAGACTCAGACTGGGGAATAAAAAATGAGTCAGTTTGAAACCTAAAGTCATGGAGGTTCTAAGTTTTCTAGTTGACAATGTCAAGATACGAGTTTGGGAGTTCAGAGGGAGATCTGTACTGCAGCTATAATTTGGGGAATCTACATAGTATATGGATGGTATTGGTCATTCCCATAGTCTGAACTATGACCTAGAATGGAACCATAGAAAACTCATACATTTAAGTCAGGTAAACTAAAATGAATTAACTGGCCGGTAGTTGTGGCTCACGCCTGTAATCCCAGTACTTCGGGAGGCCGAGGCGGGCAGATTACAAGGCCAGGAGATTGAGACCATCCTGACTAACACAGTGAAACCCCGTCACTACTAAAAATACACAAAATTAGCCAGGCGTGGTGGCACGTGCCTGTAATCCCAGCTACACAGGAGGCTGAGGCAGGAGAATTGCTTGAACCCGGGAGGTGGAGGTTGCAGTGACCCAAGATCACGCCACTGCACTCCAATCTGGGCGAGAGAGCGAGACTACATCTCAAAAAAAAAAAAAAAAAAAAAAAAAAGAAAGAAAAGAAAAGAAAAGCTTGAGAAGGAAGAGCCTGAGGTATGGATCAGGAAGAGTGGTGTCACAGAAGCCAAAGAAGGAAAGTTTAAAGAAGCAAGGTTAATTTGTGCAGCAACAAGATAAATCAGAATAAAATAAAAAAGCAGGAATCAACATAGAGACTTGGGTAAATTAAAGATGAAAATGTAGAGGGATCCCGACACCATAAAGTTGAGAATGGGAAGTAAGACATAGTCACAGAGGCTTGAGTGTAGCAGCAGCAGCTACAGCATGGCCTCCCAGGCTCCCACTCAGGAGCATCAATGCATTACAGCTGCAGCAGCAGTGACCACAGCCAGAGCCTTCAGCACCATTAGCCACAAGTGCCAGCTGGCTCCAGCCCCGAGGCCACAGACAGTTTACTGATCTCTGGGTAATCCTATTCTCCAGCCCTTCCAATTCCTAACAATTTCCTAAGATTAAGCCTTTCCCTGTTTGAAATAGAGTGGTTTCTGTTTTCCTGGCTGGAGACTAACTCATACTGTATTTGACAGCAGAGTGTTTTAGGACACTGTTCCTCAAAGATGAAAATCTGGGGTTGGCACACCCAGGCAATCTTAGATAATTTAAACTACTGTTTTGCTACTACATGTACATGCCATTTTCCATGGCAACGAGGGCATCACGGAGTTCCAGCTCAACTAGGTCAGAGAACCAACTCAGATGCTAGGAGGTGGTACTGCTGCTGGAACTCTGCTGCTGTAGAAGCTAAGCAGGAATCCAGAGCCTGTACTGCACCAAAGCTGCTGTTTCTACCTATTCCTCGCTTTCTCCCTCCCTGCCATTTAAGAGTACCAAACAGTAGGAATGGAGTTGCCAGCCAATAAACCAGTAATTAGCAGGAACTATATCAGAGATGCTACAATGGGAGAAAAAAAAAAGGTGCTTCATTTTGATAGACTGGAGTGATGGGAGATGTAAAGGCATTATTCAGCAGGTCAAAGTTGGGATAAAAAAGCATTTTTGCTGCAAGCCAATGCAAGCAACATGATATAGATGGGAATGTACAGTGCCATCAAGTTGGAATTAAGTCTGAAGGTGAATACACATGAAGTGTGAGACAGATCTAGAAAAATGTCATACCCATTTCAAAGACCCTTTGTAATAAACCCATACATACACAGATCAACCATGTTAGGATCACATTTAAAATTTCCATCTGGAAAATGGAAATTTATTTGCTTTAACCAAGTATGCTCAACTCAGAGCAAGTTTTAAATAACTCAATACATAAATATTAATTTAAAAGTCTTTAGTAACACTTAATTGAATTACTTAATTCAATCATTTTACAGCGTGATTATAAATAACCATGCAAATTATTAACACTTTTATCACGATCTAGAAAAGTGAAGCCTCTTACCTATCTCTTTACAGGTTGTTTACAAGGAAAAGTAGATACTTACCAAGTGCACTCGTTGCATCTTCAAAAAGGTTTGATCGAGAAGAATCTCCCGATGTACTGTAAAAGGATTTTAGAACAATCACATTTTAAAAAGTATATACAATTTAATTTACATTAGTTTAGTAACTATCCAATTTGTAAACAGATTCTTTGATTTTAATTAAATATAAAAGTCTGACTAAAGTATTTAAACTGTCTCTTCTAGATTAAATCCAAAAGCTTTATCTACAACATTTGTGGTTTGGGAAAAATTTTCAATCTTGGTACTCCTCCTATTCTGAGAATCCATCATTTTAAATGTCAAAATATATAAAATAATATCCTAACAGACAGCATCTGTCTATTGAATACAAAAAAGATAATGCACAATTATTTACCTGAAGTAATTTACATGAGAAGTTAAATAATTTATAAATCAAGTCACACCAGAAGAAATATCAAAAGCAGTATATAGTAAAATAGCACATGAAGAAACCAAATTAGGCTATAGTCTTTACATAATGAGATCTTACAGATAAGTTCTGAACGAGGACACTGAAAGAAGACATTCAAATAAAGAAATATAGCATATGCAAAAAAGGTAGATATGGGTTAAATCCAAGTTTGAATGTAATGAAAATCAGTGTAAAAAGATTAAGTTTCTGTTGGGAAACTACAGAGAAGTCTGCAATAAAAGAAAATTATGAAAGACCATGAAGAGCAGGCCAAAGAAAAATAAACTTAAGTTTACAACAGTGGTAAAGGTAGTAGTTGCAAGTTTAAATTAAAGCAGACACGCATAAACACTTAGACCTGAGTCTCAATTAAAAAAAACACCCATTATATTTCAGTTCTGACAAAGCCCTTGGTAGTATATAGTAAGAGCAGAAAACCCAAGTTTGGATTCGTAAATTACTGAACCTTTCTAAGCCTGTTTCTTCATCAGTACAATGGTCAATGATAGTATCATATACTCCAGAGTGTTGTGGGTAGGGCTACACTAGTAGACTGCTTAGCAAAGTGCCTGGCATCATAACACCCAATATGAATATTATGATTAATATAATCCTTTGGTATAATTTTTAAGTTCTTCATTAAATATACTGTAAAACTAATGCAGAGAAAATAAAATTTCAAAAAGCACAATATATAAAAACTAAATTTTTCCTACCCCAACGCAGAGACCACCCCTATGACACCAATTTCTATTTAAAAGAATAACAATTTGCGTCTTACTTTGTTTGTTTTGTTTTTTAAGCTTTTGTGTTTTTTAACTTAACAATCATTCTATGTCGCCACAATCAAATCTACTTCAATTTCTTCCCACAGATGCACAGTATTCCATTTAAAAGACCAAATTAAGCTCTTATTAAGGAATGCGTACTTTGGTTTCCTGCATTTAAATTCTTTCTGTAGTCAAATTTATCAATCTTTCCTGTTACAACTTTTTTTGTTGTTGTTGTTGTCTTGCTTAGGAATGACTTCGCAAAGTGAAGATTATTCTTTCGTTCCCTTGTTCTCCATTAGTTTATGGCTTTTCTTTTGCATTAAATCCATATCTATCTGTAATTTATTTTTGCAGGTGTATAGTATTCTTTTTTCATTCCAGATGATGAGATCTCAACAGCATTTTCCCCACATTGTTCTGAAATTGTATCTTTATTTTCCATTAAGTTCCTCTATCTATTTGCGTCTATTTCTAAGCTACTGTTGATTTCCCTGACCAATCTTTGTAATATGAGCCATTCCAAACTGTTTTAATCACTACTGTATAACACATTTTAAAATCCGGGAAGACTCGTCTCCCTTAGAATAATTTACACTATTATCACACACTGTCTTTAAAAAGTTCTCTTTAAACACCACAGATAAGACTGGGTGTACTTATACTTTAACCACTACTCTTTAATCTTGATTCTGTCTCACTACTTCTCCCCTCTCCAACCACAGAGGAAACCACTCATGAGTTATATGTCAACGCTTGCCTACTTCTCTTCTACACATTAACATGCATACCCACAGAAAATGTACGATGTTGTTTATGGGTTTTGTCTGGTTTATGGTTATCACCTATACTCTTTTGCAACCTGCTTTTTTCACTCAATAACAAAGCCTCAAAACCACACTTATTTAACATGCTTATATAGTACATACTTTAACTGTCTTGCAGTATCAGTTAGCAGAGTTTCTCAAATTTTACAAATTTCAAGAATCCCAAGTATTCACCAGGAGGGCTTGCTGATTTCTGGGATCCAATCCCAGATAATTCTGATTTACAGGTCCAGGGTGGCCCAAGAATTCACGTCAAACACACTCCCAGTGATGCTGATGCGGCCTACTGACAACTACACTTTGAGTAGTCCTGTTCTCTACTATGAATAAACCACAGGTCAATTTAGGATTCCAATTTGTCCTTTAATTACAAACAATACGGTCATGGGCACAAGTGCAGTTCCTCTCAGGTAGATATCAAGTGGAATTTGCACTGTAATAGACAATTTTTAAAAGAACAAAATTGACCTAAAGAAACAAACCCCTAATAACAGACAGACTTCCCGACACTCCACAAACTCTTATCAGCTTATCTCCTGATAATTATTCACTAGGTTTTGTGTTTCACAGGACAGTAGATATTTTCCAGCAAAGATAAAGGAACTAAGACACATTTAAGCAGCTTGTTTTCTGAGTTTCTCTCATTCCTCTCTTTCTATATTTCTCTGAGGTAAAATTTTCAGAAATAAGAATAAGCAGTTGGTATACAAAGTCCAACTAAGAAACTCTAGTGTCTGCTTTCCGGGATCACTGACCATCAAGTTACTTATGCAACTTTTGTAGGTCTGAAAAGATAATCCTGGCTCTTTTTAGAATAACGTTAAGTAAAACTGCAACTCCGGGAAGAAAATAAAAGTAGAGTTAATGGGCTGGGCGTGGTGGCTCACACCTGTAATCCCAGCTACTCAGGAGGCTGAGACAGGAGAATCGCTTGAACCCGGGAGGTGGAGACTGCAGTGAGCCACGATCATGCCACTGCACTCTAGCCTGGGTGACAGAGCGAGACTCTGTCTCAAAAAAAAAAAAAAAAAAAAAAAAAGAGTTAATGAGGAAACAAATTTAAATCTATGGCATTAGTACATTAAAATGTATTGATCAACTTTAAAATTCTCACACTAAGTTTTTTTAAAGGAGCTTAAAGCAATTAAAAGAATAAGATGTACTGTGCCGATTGACTTAAGATGTATTAAGTTTGCAATATTTAAGTGCTTTGGTGAACCAATTTTTTAAATTTCTAAGTTCCCTCTCACACACAGACCTGATCAACAGCTCTTTGATGTAACAGCTTAACCTGACTGTACGTGGTATCCACTAGGATAAGATGGTTGAATGCATTTCTAGTTGTACATGGGAAAGATGGATCAAGTTAGGCAATGGTGTCACAGAATACTTAAAGCAGTGTTCTAGGCAAGTAACAGCGCAAATATTTTATTGCCTAAACCCGTGTTATCTTCTTAGGGAATCAATTCTTTAGAAAGAGACCCCTGAGTAAGCAATGAATCCGGTGGCTCAGACTCCTCCAAACACGGTTGACTAAGTCAGACACAGAAACCACACTCAAAGGCAGAACACTAAAATGAAGGATCACAACTATATCTTTCTGATCATTGTCATATATATCTTAACCCCTTTCCATGTCTGTTAACCCTTCCAGTCACTGCAGTTTTCCACTGTGTCTGATTCTGACTGCAAGGATCATATAACTACTACCTCTGAGGTCCTGAGTTGCTCTAAGTCACAAAGCACAAACAGCTGTAGTGCCAGTGAAGGCTGGTCATAATATAACTCATGCTCTTAGATCAAGGAATTGTGCTGAATGATTTCCAACCAAGAGACCTCTCTGACTTAAGCATTTGGTCAATTTACCTGATCATCTGGGGAGGAAAAAAAAAAAAAAATCTTGTCTTAAACTGCTCAATAATCCTAACTGCCTAAGTAGCCACTTAGTTGAGGTGTCTCTGCTGTCAACTTCCCACAAGAAATTATTTCTTGCTCCTCAAGTATCCCAACACTCTTTTCCCCTTTTCCCCTAAATATCTACACAGGCAGAAGCTTGAATTTCCACACAAGTTCAAAGATACAGATACAACAGTGAAAAACTGAAATAATCCATAGGTTCAGGTTTCAAGAGCTAACAAATGTCAGAACCAATCACAATGTATAAACTACTAGAAAGATTTACTAACATGGAAGGATGCTTATGATATATATGACAATGACCACAAAGAATACAGATCAAGTACAAATGATGATTAGGGTGGCAATGTCATGTTATAATCCTTGACTCATTTTGGTTATTTGTATTTCCTAACGTTTCTACTAAAAAATGATTTTCACCTGCTCTCTCCTTCCCACTGCACCCCACCCTGCCCAAATCAACAGAGTACAGAAATCTGATTATGAAAATTTGTACTTATATTCTCCTTAGCAAACTATCAAAATAGACATAGCATATGTTTTAGTCAAACGTTTAAAAATGGCTTAACATAGTAGATAGTCAGTTTAATCAAAACAATAATCAAAATAAATGCATGAAGCTCCTGTTAAACACGGATTTTGAGATAGAATTTCCTAGAATCCAGTTCCTACCTGTCAGTTGCTGTTGGGCTAGTAGCCACTGGTGTCTCTGCTGGCTTTTCTGCAGGTTTCTCTTGTTTAGTTGCACTAGCAGGTGCAGGTTCAGAAGATGCTGTCGCTGATGCTGGAGTGATGGATGCAGGTGTGGAAGTGGGAGCCAAAGCAGGGACAGGGGTTGGAGCCTGAGCCACAGTTGTTGCGGTAGAGGAAGTAATGGCTGTAGTGCTCGCAGGAGCTGACTGCTGAGTTGTAGCTGGTGCTGGTGTGGACACTGCTTTGGGCTAAACACATTAAAGGCAAAATAAATTACGATAAAATACTACATATTGACTGATCTCTAATTACACTATACCGTTACAGGATGCCACAAACATAGCACTAATAACAACCTGTAACTTGAAAATAATTTTGTAAAATGACTCAATGAATGATCAATATTAGCAGTCTGACTCATGGTTCCTCTTTCAAAGCTCATGAGAGCATATGTTAATCTTAATTATCAACCACAATTAATTTTACCCAACAATTTCAGTCTTCATATCAAGTTAATATAAAAAGTCAAAAATTTGAAATAGAGAGTTTGTGTGTGTGTATATATATATATAACAAAAAAGAAAACTGTATCATTTTCCCAAAAAAACTATGTACCTGAGTTGTAACTTTAAATTACCTAATACCACTTAAAAGCATTACCAAAATAATTTTCTTTAAAGACAGGGTCTTGCTACATTGCCCAGGCTGGTCTTGAACTCCTGGCCTCAAGCAATCCTCCCACCACAGCCTCCCAAAGCACTAAGATTACAGGCATAAACTACTACACCCAGCCCAAAATAATGTTCTTGAAATGGCAGTATAAATGTTTATTTATAAACATGTCAAATATTCTGTCGTACTGTATTTTAGAAGAGGGAGGAAAATCTCAAAACTGACTACAAATCAACAGGTCCAAGTACAAAAAGGTTCACAAGACTTTGAGATGCATATGTAGATAAGCAGAAAAATGAAGGCCAAATTAAGTTACCTCCACATGCTCAGCACTTTCTGAACTGGAAGTAGAGCCATAAAGCTTTCCACAGAGCAAAAAAACAATTAGTTGACCCTTGAACAACAAGGGTTTGAACTGCACTGGGTCCACTTATATGATGATTTTTTTCAATATAAGTTACACTGAGTGTGCCTGTCTCTCCTTCTACCTCCTCCATCTCTACCACCTTGAGACAGCAAGACCAACCCTTCCTCTTTCTCATCCTAGTTAGTGTGAAGACAAGGATGAAGACCTTCATGATGATCCACTTACACTTAATGAACACCAAAAATATTCTCTCTTGTGATTTTCTTTGTTTTGAGAGAGGGTCTCACTCTATCTGGAGCCCAGACTGGAGTGCAGTGGTGTGATAACAGCTCCTTGCAGCCTCAACCTCTCAAGGCTCCAGCCTCAGTCACTGCCCCCGCCCCCACCACCATGTAGCTGGGACTACAAGCTCACACTACCACTCCCCGCTAAATGTTTGTGTTTTGTTTTGTTTTTTTTTTTTTTGTAGAGACAAGGTTTCACCATGTTACCCAGACTGATCTCCAACTCCTGAGCTCAAGCAATTCGCTCACCTCGGTCTCCCAAGGTGCTGGGATTACAGGCATCAGCCGCCATACCTGGCCATGATTTTCTTAGTAATAGTTTCTCTAGCTTACTTTAATACAGTATATTATACATGTAACATACAAAACATGTATTAATCCACTGTTTATCAGTAAGGCTTCTGGTCAAGAGTAGGCTATTAGTAGGTAAGTTTTGGGCAAGTCAAAAGGTATATGCAGATTTCTGACTGTAGGGGAGAGGCTGGCACTTCTAAGCTCAGTGGCGTTCAAGGGTCAACTGTACATGTGTAAAAATCATACTACATGAGTTTTAGCTTTCTCCTAAGGCCTGTCAATGCTACCTGTTTAGTTCATAACTTTCCCAAGGACCAAAGGTAGATATTTTGGTGGAAGACAGGACTTAAATTCAACAAAATCTGCCACAAGCATAAACAAACTCTAAAACCAATAAGCTGAGCTGCCTTGTGTCTTTTTGATTTAATAAAGAAGACATTAGGAAAAAAAAGGTTAGTGAAAGGTGATAGGCTTTTAAAAAATACTAGCATTACTCCCTTTTCCTAGTTAGCTTAATTTTCTTAACAGCCAATATAATATTCTGCAGATTATTAACATTCTAAAACTTCAATGAGCTGAAATCCTCAGGTCATTCTGGATCGTCAGTTATTCTGGATAGACTGGAGCTTCACAAACGTGAAAATTCAGAGTTTTAAGCACCAAAACTTTGTAATAACCAATCTAGATAAAAATGTACTTTTAAATGTGGTATACTCATTTAATATTCTCAATTATCTGTTATCAAAATAATATTAAAAAATGACTTATCTTCAAGGTTCCTACTGTCAAGAACAGCTCTTTCTTCTTTATTCTAAACAGTACCAAGTCCCTCTCTGCTTTTTAGTTTTTATTCTTGCTTTTGATCTTAATAGCTTTTTCCTTTCCCTTCTTTGTATTAATAAGGTCATTTCTCAGTGCTTCCATAAATGCCTTACTGTAGCAGCATTCCCTTCCTTCTTATAGTTGTCCTCTACTATTAACTTCAAAATAAAACAGTCATAAATATCATTAGAATCCTATGTAATATTAGGAATAAAAGACTTGAAGGAAAAACAAAAGAATTGTATGTAATATAGTAACAGTTTTCAAGTATCTATTCCTCAAATACACGCACCCTTTGAGACTTTTTCTGCTTAATTCTTGTGTTCTAAATAGGATTACTGTAATATTAAAAGAAACTAAGACCAGTAAGAAAACATATTTAAAAATGTGTGGCTATCACATTTTCCATTATGTACTATGTATGCTAAAACTAGATGGGAAAATACAATAGTATTCAGCAAATTATGGCACATGCTATAACATAGATAGATGAACCTCGATAACATTATGCTAAGTGAAATAAGCCAGTCACAAAAAGACAAATACCATAGGATTCCACTCATATGATGTATGTGATAGCAGCAAAACAATGTAACTATAATGTTATTGAACTGTACACTTAAAATGATTAAACTGGAAGTTTGTTATTATATTTTACCATAGTTGAATAAAAAACCTAGATGATACAAGGTTTCCTTACGATTCTGCTTCTCTGTTTTTAAAGCTTAACATATAGTGAGTTAAGTTCTTAAGTATAGCAAAATCAATATGGTTCTTAACAAATTAAAAAATGTTCAAGTTCAACACATGTAAATTATTTAGCTGCTTGTTTCCCGGTATAAAAGGATGTGGTAATTAAAATTTATTTCAACTCTATTTTCTATTACTATTAATTATTTTGTGACTTTGAGAAAAAACCCACATTTATTCCACTTTTGGCCTTTGATGAAGTGGTTTCAATTAGTGATTTAAACTTATTTTCATTGCTACAAGTAACACTGTTCTTTCTAAGATTATGACAATCCAATCCTAAAAATGAATGTCATGAGTACCACTTCTCCATTTGTCTCTTAATTCTACACTGCATTATTATCTTTAAATAAACAAGTATATAGTCTCTTAAAAAAATCCATGTTCATTCTCTGCTTTAAATTTACTTTCATAAATTGTTCCAAACACATTCCAGCCTACTAAATCACAAGAAAGTATCTGTTTAAAACTTCCTCACAAAAATCATTCTATCATTTCTTTAGTTGCCTTTTCCCTTTTTTAGTTTCTAAAAACATATTCTTTCACTAAGAAATATCACTGTAATAATAAGCTTTCATGCCTTTTCTGCCTTGAGGAATTTGTTAGGACTAGTACATAATTTAGCAAGTCTATTTAAGACAAACTTATGAAATCTACAGAATAAACATTTATTCCATTTATAAAGATATTTTAAAAGAATTATATAATAAATGATTTCCCTACTCTAGCAAAAATAATTTTAACATTTTAAATTTGGATATCAAGTGTATTTTTAGATACATTTTCCTGGTTAGTGAGGCTAGTTAAATCTATAATTCCTACTCTTATCCTTTTTGCTTTATTGGTCATCCTTTGCTTACTGATTTCTAAGAATTCTTTACATAATCTGAATATTAATTTTTTCTTCCTATCAGTGTTTCAGTTGTTTCAATTTACATAAAATTTTATTAAAACTATATTAAATTATAGTTTAATGTATAATAATGTAAACCATTAATAACTTTATGTTTCACTTAAGGTAAATTCTTAAAAAGCTTCATAGTAAAGTGCACACCACTATGGATGTGTATAAACTGTGTCCGTTGTGTGGACTTGGGGTCATCATTTTTAAAAAGACTTACATGCATAAATATACACAGAATGAAGTTGAAACTTACTTTGGTCACCATAACCACCACAAAGTTTTTCTCATCAATTTTGTATTCTTTGAGAGCAGTATCATCATTGAGGATTTTGCCTAATACATTAAGAGAAAAAAAAAAATCATTTAAGGCATAATCTTTCTCTTACACATAAGTTAAAACAACTTTCTACTTGAAATATGATTATTTCAGAAATATTAAAATATGAATCACCAACATAAATTCTATCAGTACTTTTCCCCAAGAAAAAACCAATCAATCGAGATAAAAATAAAACAATTCCTAAGTGGCAGGGTATGGTGGCTCACGCCTGTAATCCCAACCCTTTGGAAGGCTGAGGAGGGAATACAGCTTGAGGCCAGGAGTTTGAGACCAGCCTGGGCAACATAGCAAAACCCTGTTTATAAAAAAAAAAATAATAATTCAAAATTAGCCAGGCACTGTGGCACATGCCTATGGTCCTAGCTACTTGGGAGGCTGAGGCAGGAGGATCACTTGAGCCCAGGAGTTCAAGGATACAGCAAGCTATAATCACACCACTGCACTCCAGCCTGGGTGACAGCAAGACTCTCTCTCAAAATAAACAAAATTAAAAGGCATACACATTTAACTGAAAGATGTCACACTTATATAGTGTATATAGAATGACAATCAATTTTTACAAATGTATTACTTCATTATATAAAGGACTTACTGGGCAAGAAAATACGAAAGAGACCCTGAAAAGGAGAAGACCATGAAGATAAAGAAAATCCAATACTCTGATTGCACAGGGGTCCTCTGGAAAATAACCGATATTCTTTTCTGATACGAAGAAGGGGAGAGAAACAAATTTCCTGCTCCCCAAAATACCGATTATCTGATAAATCAGAAATGTTCTAACACTATCAAAGCAAGATACTAAAAGTACTTCAGAAAACGACATGATACACAAGAAAGGGCAAGATGCTACAGAACTCAGAAATGCACAAAGAAGTACAAAAGACTGTGATCATGCTGAAGGTCACATATTAGGTAAGTAGGACTCCCTGATGTTTCCTGGTCCATGAATTTAGTTTTCCACCTTTAAAAAGCTATTGAATCAAAAGCTGCTAACATTAAGACAGAAAGGAATATGGATAGGAATGAGAAAACAGGCCAAAACAAGAAACTGGAAATTGGAATTTTATGTCTGCTTCTTTAGGCTTCTGAACTCAGATCTATAAAAATAATAGGACTGAATCACCGTGTTAGCATTTCCGCCAGGCTGTCTCACTTTAGGAAACACTATTCAGAAAAATAGAAGAATCCATGGGCGATCAAACACCCACCTTACTAACATCTACAATGAAAGCATTTTCTCTACTAAATTTGCATATCAAGTGTATTTTTAATATACATTTTCCTGGTTATTAGTGAGGCTAGTTAAATCTATAATTCCTACTCTTATGCTTTGTTGCTTTATTGGTCATCCTTTCCTTATTGATTTCTAAGAATTCTTTACATAATCCCCTTTTCTTCCTGTCGACGTCTTTCTGTGTGATGTGTTTTTTTGGTATTCTTCAGTCGGTTTTGGTTAAAACTTAATTTTACAGGAATGATTCCAAACAGAGTAATAACACAATCAGTATAAATGGTTTCAATTAAATTTTTTAAAAAATCTCAGTTTCATTAAAAACACAAAAGCCAGTTACATGATGCTTACAAAAGATGAAACAAAATACCGTTTGATGGAAAAATACATAGGGCAAATGTGAATAAAGAGAAGATTGAATATCAACATTAGATTCAAACGACTGCTCTTTCACTGCTTTTATTTGTACAACCATTTTTCTGACAATTTGAATATACTACAATATGTAAGATAACATTTCTAAAACTAAAAGAATAATCAAGACATGGCATGTTAATTTTAATATTTAATTCATACCTGCATAAATTAATTTTTGACCTGCTACCGGAAAGGCATCTTTCCCCTTTTCAGATTCAATCTTCTCTTTCAGTGCTTTCACCTATAGGAAAAATAAAGATCTGTTTTGGAAAAAGTCTAAACAAAAAATGACAATCCAGAATCTGAATAAATAATGGAAGACAAAAATTATATACATAATTATTAATGCTTCCAAAACCTCAAAGATCGTTTTTCCAATTTGTATCAAAAAAGATTCAATATTAACTCATATTATTAGTTATGATAGGCATAAACTTTAACACCATCTGATACACACAGATTTTTAAAAATGTACTAGTTGACTTGATAATTTAAAATAAAGTTTTCAACATCAAAGTTTTGATTTATATAATGTTTATGGATTTATTTCCCACGGAGCAAGAAAGTAAAGCTCGATCACCTAAAAAGTCTCAGAAATAAAATAGTCTCATCAACAAGAAGAATACTTCAATGTTAAAGGTTAAATTGTGAATGCTAAAAGGCAAATAATTCATGTTAAGTTTTATGCTTCATTACAATCACCATGGGTGCTTTACAAACACCAATTAAAACATAATCTCTGAGGGTGGGACCTTGACATCAGTATTTTTAAAAAGCTTTACAGGTGGTTCCAAAGTTCAGCCCAGGCTGAAAACCACCAGACAACTTCAATGCTCTTAAACAAGCAGCTTAGCTTCTCTCAGAATCAGTTTCATCTATAAGAGGAGCTGGAATCCATGACCTTTAGAGTCTCTTCATTTCCTAAAATTGTGTGACAATTAGGCTCATTATACAGTATTTAGAAAAACGAGTCAATGGACTTCTTAACCTGTTAAGTAGGGAGGCAAAGGAGTAAAAAAAGGCAGAGATGGCTTTCTCATTTGCCTTTATAGAACTACTTTCATTACTTTAAAGACACAAGAACCAAGGAGAAAAATTCAAATTCCTTCAATTTCCCAGAATACTTCTTGAAAATTATCTAAGTTGACAGTTCTCTGAGTTTTAGACAGAAAGAGATACAAATACAAGTTTCTCTTCTACAATTAAAAAGTGACGGTGTGTACTTCAAAGATTAAAAAAGCTTATTTAGCTTCAAATGTTAACATACAATTTCACACAATCCTCAAAACTCTGGGACAAAAGGAAATGTCACCCACTCAATTTTATAGACGAGGAGACAGAAATAAAGAGGTTACCATCCCTTATGACTCCAAAAAGTATTTTGCAAATACCATATAAACCATTCTTGCTGTACTGATCTTCCTGAAATGGATCGGTAGCATTATTGCTATTCTGATGTTCCCCAAAGTAGAAATCCATCACAAAAACCCCAATTCACTATTTTCCACTGTTCCTCATTTCAAAGGTGAAACACAAGTAAAATTTTTTTAAAGCCAAACATCAGATTTGCAAAAAAAGTAAAACAGTGTCAGTCTTCTCAGTGCTTCGTTGTTACTGTTATTTTGGCACATAGTTATTTTTTTGCAAAAAAAATTTATTATATCTGTTTTTAAATGAACATTAATAAAATTTGTTTTAATTTCTAATATGGTAAACATTAATAAATGTAAGTACAGGCCGCGCGCGGTGGCTCAAGCCTGTAATCCCAGCACTTTGGGAGGCCGAGACGGGCGGATCACGAGGTCAGGAGATCGAGACCATCCTGGCTAACACGGTGAAACCCCGTCTCTACTAAAAAATACAAAAAACTAGCCGGGCGAGGTGGCGGGCGCCTGTAGTCCCAGCTACTCAGGAGGCTGAGACAGGAGAATGGCCCGAACCCGGGAGGCGGAGTTTGCAGTGAGCTGAGATCTGGCCACTGCACTCCAGCCTGGGCGACAGAGCGAGACTCCGTCTCAAAAAAAAAAAAAAAAAGTAAGTACATTGGGTCAGGCACAGTGGCTCATGCCTGTAATCCCAGCACTTTGGGAGGCTGAGGTGGGAGGATCACCTGAGGCCAGGAGTTTGAGATCAGCCTGGCCAACATGATGAAACCCTGTCTCTACTAAAATGCAAATAATAAAAAATTAAAAAAAAAAATTAGCCGAGCATAGTGGTACATGCCTGTAATCCCAGCCCTCAATAACTTATTTAAATGTAAACAAGTTTTGAAACCAAGTCATTTGAGGACTGCTATCCTACATGCTAAAAGACTTCCCAAGTCAACTAACTGATGGCAGAGCATGGGTGGAGCACTCAGTGGTGAATGGTAAATTTCTTTTCAAATTTTGTTTATAAAGACAAGATACAATATTTGCAAGGGTGATTATTTAGGAAAACTACAATAAATTACAGATCAAGTGTAGCTCTATGCATGAACCCAGTTCTCAGAACAATACACAGTGGCTTGGCATGGAGTGGGTGCTCCATTATCCTGTGCTCGATGAATAAATGAACAGAGCATAGACATATGTAAAGAAAAAAAGACACATATGAAGGAACAAATAAAAGAAAATAAACATGCAGGAATATCTCATTCTTGACAGGTTTCAATGAAGTAAGACTTAAATATTTCATATTTCAAAAAGCCTAAATAACAGGACTCTCTAGCTTTATATATCAAAAATGAGAGAGGAGAGGACAAAAGGAAAAAAAAAAAACCAGCACCATAAATTAAGAAAAGCTGGACCAAAACAGAAAGGCCCTTTAGTAATTTACTACTAAATAACTTTTGCTTCAAAGAAATCAAAATTGATTAAAAAATATTAAGGTTGCGCACAGTGGCTCACGCCTGTAATCCCATACTTTGGGAGGCCAAGGCAGACGGATCACCTAAGGTTGGATTCAAGACCAGCCTGGCCAACACTGTGAAACCCCATGTCTACTAAAAACACAAAAATTAGCCGGGAATGGTGGCTGCCACCTGTAATCCCAGCTACTTGGGAGTCTGAGGCAGGAGAATTGCTTGAATCCCAGGAGGCAGAGGATGCAGTGAGCCAAGATCATATCACTGCACTCCAGCCTGGACGACAGGAGCAAGACTCAGTCTCAAATACAAAACAAAACAAACACAGAATATTAAGAACATAGCAATGGGGGCTCCATACAAAACACCTATATGATTTGGCTAAAGAAGTAATTGTAGACTAAACACTAAAAATGTTTATTCAACAAAGAAGAAAAATTAACAGGCTAAACATGCAACTCAAACAGAAAAAAGGACAAATAAAAATAATAATAAAAGAAATTAAGAGGCCTGGCGCAGTGGCTCATGCCTGTAATCCCAGAACTTTGGGAGGCCGAGATGGGCAGATCACAAGGTTAAGAGATCGAAATCATCCTGGCCAACACGGCGAAACCCCGTCTGTACTAAAATACAAAAATCAGCCAGGCGTGGTGGCGCGCACTTGTAGTCCCAGCTACTCGGGAGGCTGAGAAAGGGGTATCAATTGAACCAGGGAGCCGGAGGTTGCTGTGAGACGAAATTGTGCCACTGCACTCCAGCCTGGCGACAGAGCAAGACTCCATCTCAAAAAAAAAAAAAAAAAAGCAATTAAAAAAGAGAAAAGGCAGCTGGGTGCAATGGCTCACGCCTGTAATCCCAACACTCTGGAAGGCTGAAGCGGGTGGATCATTTGAGGCCAGGAGCGCAAGACCAGCCTGGCCAACATAGCGAAACCCTGTCTCCACTAAAAATACAAAAATTAACTGGGCATGGTGGCGCATGCCTGTAATCCCAGCTACTCGGGAGGCTGAGGCCGCAGTGAGTAAAGATCACGCCGCTGCACTCCAGCCCGGGTAACAGAACAAGACTGTCTCAAGAAAGAAAAAAAAAAAAAAGAGAAACAAGGCACAAAACTATTCGTGCACTAATAAAAAAATTGGACAAATGACATGGCAGGCAATTCACAATTACAGTCACAGCACAGAAAAGCTCAACTTCATTAGTAACCAAACACATAAATGATGCCTCATGTTATTAATCCAATAGACTACCACACTGGAAAGACTGGTTTGAATAATTCTCGGCATTGAAAGTGAAGAAATACATTCTCAGAATAAGAATTAAAGTATCAAATGATCAAATTTTTTGAGGGCAACATGCCAAGATGCTTCAACATTTTTAAGGTAGTGGGGAAAGGCACGGGGATTTGACCCAACAGTATCACTTCAAAGAAAATAACAGCCCAAGACTTTGGAATCAGGTTCACTGACCTGTCTGAAATTCTGGCATTGTTCCTTACCTTGAACAAAACAGTGATCTTTACTTACAATCCAATCTATACTCATAGAACACAGGCTGAATTCTATCATCTACAAACCACTCTATGTTTAAAATTATAAGTGACCAATCTCCGGTTCCTACCAGCTCTTAGTAACTGTTCACTACACTTGCTCTTGAACCTCCGTAAGACTTGATCCCTAGAGTTTCTACTTTCATTTTGATCTTCACTATCAGCTCTATTTTGCTTAGACAACACTGTCACTGCTCTTATCACGTTCTTTCTAATATCAAAAACTTCCTTGTCTTTTGGCTGCTTCTGACACACAGAATTCTGTATTTGGACTAACACCATCTGTTTCTGTCAGTACTCAACCTCTAAAATTTACTCCAACCACTCTGTAGTGTCTCACTGTCCTAACCTTGCTTAGCTAACAAATCTCAACTTTTACCTAAGAGACTGCCTATCTACATTTATACCTAGTTTTCTAAATGCTAGTGGAGAAAAGGATACACTAAATCTTCTGTTCCCCCTGGTTAGCCCTATTCTCCATCCTCCAAAAGAATATCTTAAATCTTCATTCTACTCTAAATCTGATTCCCAGCATCCTCTCATACTCTCTGCAGGTGACTACTTTCTACCTTATTAAAAAAAGATAGAGGAACTTATTTTCAACTTTCTGTTTAACTTTGTCGCATCCAGACCCACCTACATCTCCATCCAGACCCACCTACATCTCCATCAAGACCCACCTACATCTCCTTCTCACCTATTAAATGAAAGAAGAATCTCTCTCTTTCAAACCTAATTCTTTCCACCTGTCCTCTGGTTCGCCTCCAAGTATTTTTCAGTATCTTACTAAATTCATTATATTGCCTATCTCCCCCAGCTTTTTCAGCCTCTCTTCGCTCAGTTCACT